AAAGCTCTAGAACAAATACATCAGAACCTTACAGTACTAGTTATACGACAGAATCATTAAAACTGATAGTGCATTAATGCTACAAAAGAACACCACTTTGACTATGCTGGTATTGACTGAAGCTCCAGTAAACACAGAGTTTGGGATATCTGTAAATTTATTTTCCAAATCCAGATGAACAGATATCTGCTGAGCCAGCAAATTAAGCTTTTAAAGGAGACCACTCACTAAAGAGCATCTTTTGCTAATGTAGCTCCAAAGGACGGAGCAAGTATGGACTTCTTTTGAATATATCCATCTTCTCTAGAAGAAGAATCCAGATGGATTGTGAGGTGTAGAGAGCAGAATAAAGACCGCCTCCATTTCACCCAGAAGAAATGACAGAAACAACTTGGCCCTCCTGAGTCTCCACCCAGCACTCTATCCTCAAAGTCCTGATCATCTTCTAAAAGAAAAATTATCTTCACAGTTTTTTGTTGCTTATTTATCTAGAAGAATATCATAGGCAGCCCTGTCTTCTTTTTTTTTTTTTTAATAAAGGAAAAGTAATTTTGCTGGTCTGCTCCTAGCAACAGAGTACAAATTCACAGAGATTTTTACTCAATCTATGACAATGTTTTCTCTGTCAGGTTAGGGCATACATCAGAGCACAAGAGATTTACAAGACAAGATGAAAAGCCCTAAAACAAAAAATTGGACTCTCTTTTACCCAAGCCTCTCTGTCCATTGAGTCTGAAGTTGTCAAACAAGAACCAGACTTCCACTCGTTTATTGTTTATAAGGTGCTTATTTCCCCAAACCTGCAATGTCACAACAAATGACCCCAAAAGGCACAGTAAAGGGCAAGAGTCTCAGTACCTTTTGTGATGAGCAAGTTCTTGTTCTGGCAATTTCCTTCCAGACAGAGAAGATGGATGAATAAACTGGGAGCACTGAGAAAGCCCCACACAACAAAGCTATCAAAGTCACAAAGTTTTCAGCTGAGATCCCTAAAAATTCCCATCAATACTAACTGACCCTCTTACATGTGCCAACGAACACAACTGCAAGAAAAAGTCAACATCCTGTGCTTTGTCTTTTCTTTCTTCCTCCTCATCTCACAGTGACTCACTGTTGTCATTTTCCAGCTAGACACTGACACACCAGTCGGTTAGGCTCTCAGCAAGGTGGTCCACTGGCAGGGACTGCCTCCCTGGGCTCACTGCTCTCAGCCACCCCAGATTCTTTGGGGTGCAGCGTTCTGCTCCCACAGAGTCACGGAGACAACTTCGTAACTGGGCATTTGCTTCTGAGATGTGATGTCAAGCACAGAAATACAAGATTCATTAACTGCATCGATTACTACATTTCAAGACGAAAGAACAACCATCGTTTCTTATCATATTTATTTGTTTATTCCAAACCAGAGGAAGCCATCCTGGTTTTCAGAAGGGTGGCATGTATATGCTTTCCTAGTCGCTTGGAAGGAGCTGACAGCTTTCAGCACTTCAGCAAACACTGCTTTGAGATTCTGTAACAGAAGGAAGGAACCAGCAGCCAGATGAGAAGCATGTGAGGGAACGCATCTATTAGCAAGTACAGGGAGATGTCTTGTTAATAGAAGACAGAAGGAGGGACAAAGCAGGGAGAGAAAGAAGCCAGCAGTTAGTCATTTTCTCGTACAGATACATTTGGCTAGAAACAAGATGCATATCAACCTAGTATTCCTTTCTGCACTTTTGAAGTGCACCAGTGAAAATCAATACTGAAAAGCAAAACTGAACACCAAAAGGCCTCTCTTCAAAACTGTTCGGCACCCTTAGAAGCCCTCAGATAACAAAAACAGTGAGAAAATGAAGTTTCCTGGTACTGGTTGCATAGGACAGACCTTCCATTTTTAAAAATATCTTTTTGATTCAAAATTGCAGCTGCTGTTGCAGATATCTTAGTGAAAAACTAGAGCTTCTCCCCTCCAAACCAGAGCACATCAAAAGCTGGCCTAAGGCTGGCAAGGGACAAATAAGTGGGCCCACCAAGAATCAGCTTTGCCGTTAGCAAAACCCTTTCTCTGGCTCCTCCTGTGAGCACAAAGTAGGAAAAGATGGCTGAGCCTCCAAGACAGGCTGAGACGGTTTGGGGTTTGAGTTTTTTTGTTTGTTTGGGGATTTCTGTTTGTTTGTTTTTTGTGGGGGGTGTGTGTGTTTTAAAAAAAGCCTTTTGGAGA